ACCCAGCACCCATTCGCCAGCCCACCACTTCTTGGCACCCCTCCACTTTCCTCTCAAGGAGACCCTCTGGGGGACCCTCACACAGGTCCCAGGTCCTCCAAAAATGCCATCCAACTGTCTGTACATCCAGGGCCGAACTGGCCCATCTGGCATTCTGGCATTGTCCTGGTGGGCTGCTTGGTCAACGTGGGCCACCTTCACCTTCAACATCTACTTCTCCAAAGCCTTGCATCAGGTGGCTCTCCCCAGTCTCCCTACAGCCAAGTGCACAGCAGAATTCCTCCTCAATCATGTGGATCATGAAAGTGCATGGATTCTCCACCAATATAGTGTCAAAACAGGGGCTGCAGTTCACAGCTTAATTTTGGAAAGCCTTTAGCGTCTCATTGGGTATCATCCCCACATCAACAAACAAACTTAGAGGTCTAATCAGCAACTGGGGCGCTATTTAAACTGCTTTTTCTCTGCCCAGACAACTCTCTGGCCTCTCCTCTGAGCAGCTCTCCAACACAGCCTGCACATCTCATCAACCACGGGCCTATACCCTTTTGAAACCTGCTACAGCTGCCAACCCCCACGTTCATGCATTAGGGACCCAAGGTGGAGGGTCCTGCAGCACAAAACCACGCCCATCTGTGTTGGGTGGTGTTGATACTGACCATGACCTGCCATCTCTCAGGCCAATGCCCAGTACGCCTATCAGTACTGCTGCTGCCATTGACGAGCCCCGTCTACCATCCAGGGGACCAGATATAGCTTTCAACCGCTCACCTCCGCCTCCATAGCGGGTCACAGAGTCATTGGGCTCCAAAAGGTCACCCGCCGGATCAACCAGGTCACCTTCCACCTCTGGCTCTCGACCTGCCTAAAGATACATCCTGTCTTCCACATCTCTCAGCTCAAAATATGACGGATCAAAGTTTGTTATGCACATCTGAATAAGTAGAAGTTCTACCATGTGTAGTGGAGGTTTGTCAGGATTATCTCAGGAAGAACATGATTGAAGCCGGGCGGACACTGTGCGACTTTTTCACTTTTTTGAGCCGATTTTCCACTCGTGCGAGAATCCACGACATCGGGGCGAGTTTTGCGCCGAGCGGTCGTGTAGTGTACAGGGGGTTACGAGAGGCGATTAACACCACGTGACCAGCTGCCGATCAGCAGTCGTGAGGTCGCAGGGACTTCTGGTGTGTTTAAATCCGGGCGTACACTGTGCGACTTTTTCACTCGCAGCGTTCAGCTTCAGCTCAAACTGTATGACTTCCTCGCAGGGCAGATCTCACGAGTCATGTGCTCACACTGCACGACCCAGTTCTCGGATGCGACCTGACTGCTCACACTGTACGTCTGGTAGCAACACGTCGGCCCTAAAAATATGCTAAAAATAGCAGTTTTTGCTCAACATGTCAGACTTTTTGGTCTTGTCTTGCCTGTTGTCCTTCGGGAGTGCTGCAGGAGGACACACAGGGATTTATGGGGGTTGGATGAGGAAAACCAAATAAAGAAAGTGAATCTGTGTTTAGTGATCAGTTTAATTTGACATGAACACGACAAACACGCTTTCTTGATAATCTTTGTGAGTAAAAAATGTGTAGAAATAAAAACGAACAGCGTGTGTTATTAGGGAAATAGCGGGCGAGCGGTGCTGATGCAGGATTGCGCATGCGCCGTGAGCGGTTCTGATACTTTTTGGGTCGCAGCTGCTCGCAGCGCCGCTTCAACAGTGCGATACCCTCACGAGGGACGAGCAAAATATCAAACACACCAGAAGTCCGTGCGACCTCACGATTGCTGATCGGTAGCTGGTCACGTGGTGTTAATCGCCTCTCGTGACCCCCTGTACACTACACGACCGCTCGGCGCTAAACTCGCCCCGATGTCGTGGATTCTCGCACGACTGGAAAATCGGCTCAAAAAAGTGAAAAAGTCGCACAGTGTACGCCCGGCTTAATATTTTGCTCGTCCCTTGTGAGGGTATCACACTGTTGAAGCGGCGCTGCGAGCAGCTACGATCCAAAAAGTATCAGAACCGCTCACGGCGCATGCGCAATCCGGCATCAACGCCGGTCGCTCGCTATTTCCCTAATAACACACGCTGTTCGTTTTTGTTTGTACACGTTTTTTTACTCAAAGATTATCAATAAAGCGTGTTTGTCGTGTTCATGTCAAATTAAACTGACCACAAAACACAGATTTACTCTCTTTATTTCGTTTTCCTCATCCAACCCCCATAAATCCCTGTGTGTCCTCCTGCAGCACTCCCGAAGGACAGCAGGCAAAACAAAAAAGTCTGACGTGTTGAGTAAAAACTGCTATTTTTAGCACATTTTTAGGTCCGACGTGTTGCTACCAGACGTACAGTGTGAGCAGTCAGGTCGCATCCGAGAACTGGGTCGTGCAGTGTGAGCACATGACTCGTGAGATCTGCTCTGCGAGGAAGTCATACAGTTTGAGCTGAAGCTGAACGCTGCGAGTGAAAAAGTCGCACAGTGTACGCCCGGCTTTAGTGACTGGTGGACACTTTTTCTTATTTCCTACAGCTTAAATTGAAGTAGTGGTCCTATTTTGCACCAATAAGTTTAAAGAGGCATGATAGGAAATAAGAGCTGTTGGTTATCTAAAATGTTCTAGTTTCTTTTTTATCAGCGGAGGATCACACATTTGTTGGAATTGGAAATTGAGAGTTCATCAGTAAAATTTGCGATGTTGAATGTCCCTAATTTTAACTACGTCTCAGTTTATTTGCTATTTACTCTCTTTGCATTCACACTTTGATGGTACAGTGGTAACTGGCCTGTATTTGTACAGCACCTCGTTAGGGTTCTACAACCCCCCAAGGCGCTTCACAACACAGTCATCCACCCATTCACACGCTGGTGGGGATGAGCTACAATGTAGCCACAGCTGCCCTGGGGCATACTGACAGAGGCAAGGCTGCCGAGCACTGGTGCCACCGGTCCCTCCGACCACCACCAGCAGGCGAGATGCAACGTCTTGTCCAAGGACACACCAGCAGCATTCTCTGGTTGGAGCCGGGATTGAACCTGCAACCTTCCGATTACCGGACAACCCGCTCTACCTTCTGAGCTGCTGCTGTCACCCTTTGATTTCCAACGCTTCCAGATTTGTCTCACAGTTCTTTCTCTTTGTGTCTCAGAAACCAAACTGAGATGCTGTGATGTGACATGCATGAAGGGCCTGCTACTCCTTAAGCCCATGAGAGGCAGGCTAACACTGGAGAGGAACAGCTCCTAGACCAAATGTACACAACAAAATCTAATTTAGCATTAGTCTGAATTATTAGCATGATTCTGTGCAACGGCTGCGACACGGTTTTTCATGGCATCCTGAATAATAAACCTCAAATAAAAGACATTTTGTGAGGTTTTAATCAGGACGAGTTGTTGAAAGGCAAACTTAGCTGAGAATTGAAGCACTGACAGGGTTGAGATGACAGGAAGTGGGATGTGATGGTGACATGTACAGCAGGTGCAGCTCAAAAACACGTCACACATTTGAATTGGCTCTAAAATGACTGAAAGATGCTCTGACTGAGACAGCTGAAACATAAAAGAAGGCAGGAATGTTGTACAGCTGATGAGTCTTCAGAAAGCGGAGAAGAGGGTAAACACTCCACAAGAGCAACTCACTTCAGAGGGACTGTTACACAAAGAGAGGAAGAGATGGAGGAAAGGGAAATGAGAGTGTTTCACCTCTTCAGCTCCTTCAGGAGGTGTCAGAGGCTCTTTGACAGAATCCTCCTATTTCCAGTCAAAGCGTTGAGTTTCTATAAAACTCATTTCCAGCTGAGAGCTTCAGCAAAGAAAAGACTAGGAGACACTTAGAGATACAACATGGCGTCATCACCCAGAGCAGCCCTCAGTCAGAGGAACAGTCTGGATAGGTTAATCAGCTATACTCAAAAAGCAGGTGTCGACCCCCCCCCCCCCCCCCCCATGACACGACTGTCACATTCACACACGTGTGTCTCTTCACTAAACATTGTGCTTTCTGTCTGAAGCGTGAAGCAACACTGATTGTATCACATCAGTGACACCAAGAACAAATTGCTTTTCTTCAATCGTGGGTAAGAGTGTGTGTGTGTGTGCGTGTGTGTGTGTGTGCGTGTGTGTGTGTGTGTGTGTGTGTGTGTGTGTGTGTGTGCGTGCGTGCGTGCGTGCGTGTGTGGGGGTGTGTGTGTGTGTGTGTGCGTGCGTGCGTGCGTGCGTGTGTGCGTGCGTGTGTGTGTGTGTGTGTGTGTGTGTGCGTGCGTGCGTGCGTGCGTGCGTGCGTGCGTGTGTGTGTGCGTGCGTGCGTGCGTGCGTGCGTGTGTGTGTGTGTGTGTGTGTGTGTGTGTGTGTGTGTGTGTGTGTGTGTGTGTGTGTGTGTGTGTGCGAGTGTCAACATAAGCTTAAATCAAATATAGTTTTGGACAGCCATTAGCATTTCTCTTGTTTATTTGTATGTTAGTAACAGGAACACACGAGAAAAGCTCTGCTGCTGTTTAAGAGAACAGTCAGCAGAAAGTGTGAGGCTGTCGCTTTTCCATCCACAAAGTCACAAAAACCATCTAAGGGGGAAATAAAATCCCACTATGGGTTCAGCCACACACAGCTGTTCTAGACACTTTAGGTGTCATCATGGTGAGGTCGTTCTCAGCACCAGCTGTAGGATCAAGGTGACCAAGTCAGCAGGGTCCACACAGACCGAGTTTCTCCTGAAAGAAGCAGCCAGGACCTGAGACGTGTCGGCAGCAGCTCTGAGGGGTGAACTGGTGATTTTTGCTCAAACCCGAATTGTGCGGACCGCTGTCAGCCACCGTGAGGATAAAGTTGGGTGAGATAATTGTGAGGACACACGGCTGAGCACATGGGCTTGATAGCAGACAGCGTAGTGGGAGAACCTCCTCAAGAATCAGAACACTGAAGCGTCTGAGTCAGGACTAATGAGATGAAGAAACATCTGAAACGGGATTCAAGTGGGAAACAAAGATGTGTTACCTTTAGCGCCCGCTCCCGTCATCAGCTCCACCACCACAAGCAGGACAGGAACGTAATCTCTGATCGGGTTCATCATGCTGGCTTTGCGCTCCCCGAGCCCAGCGTCAACGTCCTTGGGATGAACACTTTTCCTCTGACCGCGACGCTTCTCCTCCAGACTGCCTCTGACAAAGAACAGGAAGTGTTCGTGTCTGCCAGCGCCGCTGTAGGCACCACGCTGCGAGCGGACAGAGCTCCAGATGGAGGAGAGGAGGCAGGCTCCGAAGCTGCTGCAGGTGTGGCTGCCGCCTCCGACTGGAGCCTCCTCTCCACCTGCGTTCAGCACCGCGGACAGCTCCCAGCGTCCGGGTCACGCGCCTTCGGTAGTAATCCGTGTGAGCGTGACCATACAGGTGAAATTCGAAAAATGAGAATCTGGTGCAAAAGTTCATTTGTGTCAGTAATTCAGCTTAAAATGTGAAACTAGTCTATGAGAGAAATTCTAGCCTTCATTTGTCATAACTGTGATGACTGTGGCTTACTGACGAAACTCCACATTCAACATCTCTGACCATTACAATACTGTGAAAAGATCCAATATTCTAGACTTAAAGTGTCCCACTCTGGTCAGCCAACCAAACAGAACACCCGCAGAGGGTTCCTCAGCCTTTAGATGGTGTCTCAGTCTAAGCCGGATTACTGACATAAATGGAGTTTGCACCAGATTCTAGCTTTTCCAGATTCATCGAATCATTAAACCATTATACACCAACCAGTAGATGATGTATACACGTCAGAGCTGCCAGGGGCTTACTGTAGATTACCCACAGCAGATCTTAGTGTGTCTGCTGTGTTTAAAAAACTTACAGTTTAGACCAGGGGATTGTTGTTGTTGGAGCTGATTTTGTTTCATCAACAAACCCAAAAGGACAGGGCAGAGACAAACCTTGAGAGAGAAGATGACTGCTAACCAAAGTGGGTGAGGAGCAGGCAGATGGGAAAAAGAGGAGGAGAGAGAGCTTTGGTCAAGCTAAGGATTTTAAATCAAGTCTCCATTCTTCTATACTTTTTCGACCGCTTATCCAGGGTCGGGTCGCGGGGGCTGCAGCCTAAGCAGACTCCCCTCTCTGCAGCTACTTGGGCCAGCTCCTAATCCTAAACGTTCCCTGGCCAGATGAGAAACAGTCCCTTCAAAGTGTCCTGGGTCTTCCTTTAGGGCTCCTCCCGGTTGGACATGCCTGGAAAACCTCACCAGGGAGGAATCCAGGAGGAATCCTGACCAGCATTGAGCTGCCTCACCTGGTTCATCTCTATGTGGAGGAGCAGCAGATCTACTCCAAGCCCCTCCCAGATGACCGAGCTTTTTGCCCTATCTCTAAGGGAGAGCCCAGCTACCCTGCGGACAAAACTCCAACATGATGATGAGATGAGAAAACTCATTTTGGCCAATTGCAACCCCTGATTCTGAACAAGCATAAAGTGGCAGTGGAGAAGAACGTCACCCGGTTAACCTCCAGCACATCCAGCACCAGGATGGACAAACTTTATCCACCAGCTGGAGGCTTGACTTGATTTTGAAAAGCAAACCTGAAGAAGACATAGAATCTCTAGGGTAGAAGTGAAAAGTGGATTGAGAAAAACCTGGCAGGCAAAAACTATAGTTTATTATGTTGACAAATGGCAATATTATTATTAGTATTATTATTATTATTATTATTATTATTATTATTATTATTATTATTATTATTATTATCATTGTTATTATTATTATTATTATTATTATTATTTTGTCATTATTATTATTATTATTATTATTATTATAATCATCATCATTATTATTATTATTATCATCATTATAATAATATTATTATTATTATGCATTTACTTCATTCAAAGTTCAGCAGCATCACTCAGGTGAGTCTGAGAACAGCAGATTTGTTTACATCTGAAGTTAATGATTAACTTCAGATCAGCAGCAGGGCCACACCTCCATTTAACCCAGTGTCACCTTCCTTTCACCCCACCCTCTCATGCCCCCATTTGTGCATCCCTCCCCCATCCCTTCACCCATCCTCACCCCTCTCTGTTCCTTGGGCCCTCCTAATCTCCACCTTATGAAGATGAAAACTAAATTCCTAATATTAGAATGGGACTGATATTTTCTTGGCTGTATGTATTATTATTCTGAGGATGACTGATTCTATTTCAGAATGATAAAATGATTTTAAGTGAGGATGAATTAATTGAAGCATTTATTAAAATTGAGGCCCATGAAACTGATCCTGTACTTGTAAACATTAGAGAAGCTCTTTCTGAATACGAGCATGTGACTTTTAACACTCATGATTATTTGGATCACAAAGATGATGGGTTTTGGAGTGATGTAGACCCTGATAAGCATTTTTTAAATTATGACCAATGTGAATGTAAATACTATACTGATGAGCAGTTCAAAGGTCTCAAAACTGATGATGCATTCACTATAATTCACTTTAATAGCCGGAGCTTATATAAAAATGTTGATAAGAAAAAAGATTTTCAGTTTAAAGTTACAGTGTGTATTTTTCCTGGTGATAGGGGGCAGTAGATACCGAAATCGTTGCAAGCAATCAGTATTTTTGTGTTGGTGTGAGACTCTATCAAGGGATGCCCGTTAGGGTCAAAAAGCCCCAGGGAGTGCAAACTTTAGCAAAATAACGAGCACATCAGACTCCCTTTCATCAGTGGCAACAAGTGAAGAGGTAAATGTGTAAAACAACAACATTTAAGAATGATGAAAGTTTTAACCATTTGTTACAAATCAGCAAATGCATTTTGTGCTCACGGGCTCCCGTAGAAGGAAACATGGCATCTAATATGGCATCGCTCAGAGACTTAGACCCGCTCCCATGTATTTTAGACCTGATTGATATAGTTATATGTAACGAAGTCGCCAATATTTTTCAATAACTGGACATTATTTAATACATTTTCAACAACAATTTGATGGATATTTATAGAAATTAATAGTAAAAACTACACATTGTCTCTTTAAGAAATGTAGCGATGTGGCTGTGTCTGAAATGTGGTTGGAGGAAGAAAAGGTTTGTGATGTAAAAATAAGAAAGGTGGGCAGAGGAGGGAGGGAGGAGAGTGAGCATGCGCTGACGGCCGATCACCGGACACAGCAGCGTTTGAAGTTGATGGCAGCTCGTTAGCAAACATCCACAAACAATTTAGATGCATTTTTCCCTAATTTAACTACTGACAACGAAAAAATAATCTGGTAAGTATAACTCGCTCAATCTGGAGGTAAGTGAAGGAAATTTAGAAAGTTTGTTAAATTATATTGACGAAGTTTTTGAAGTTTTCGTCATGGGTCCGAAGAAATCAGCAGCTGAGGCTGAAACACCTGGAACCAAGAGGAGCCGTCCTCAGGACTCGCCTGAGGCCTCATCTCCCCGGAAGGACGTATTAGAATTATTAGATTCTATTGATAAACGGCTTCTGGGATTTGAGGGGCGACTTCATCTGCTCGAGGTTCTACACCAGGAGTTTCAGAACCCCCGAACATCTCTGGAGTTCAGTCAGGAGCAGGTGGAGTGGCTCGCTGCTGAGAATGCGTCTCTGCGGGAGTCCGTTTCTTCCCTGGAAGAGGGAATGACGCGGATCACCCAGGACAACAAAACTCTGAAGGAGACGTTTTGGACCTTCAGGCCCGCAGCATGAGGGATAATCTGGTGTTCGCAGGTCTGCCGGAGCAGGCGGGAGGGGCGGAGAACTGCGAGCAGACAATAAAAAACTTTCTCCAGACCCAAATGAAGATACCCGAAGAAACGGTAAAAAACATCACCTTTCACCGGGTACATCGCCTTGGAGCTAGACGAGTGGACAGCAGAAGACCTCGTCCCATCGTGGCTAAATTTGAACATTTTAAGCAGAAAGATCTTGTTAAAAGTCACGGAAGAGAGCTCAAAGGGAAAGACTTCAGCGTTAATGATCAGTTCCCTAAAGAAATCCTGGATCGGCGCCGAGTTCTCTTTCCGCTGCGCAAAAAGTTTATCCAGGATGGGAAGAGAGAGCTGTCATTTCGGTGGATAAGCTTTATGTGGACAATAAGCTTTACAAGGAGCGAGGAGTGACTGACTGGCTGTTTTAGCCCAACATCAGGTCAGACATTTATTATTCTTATCAGGATTCACTGGGTTTGATCACGTCAGGATTAAACAGCTGCTAAATCCGTATTCTAGATGATAAGATCACCTGTTCATCACCACCCCACACCCCTATTACCTTTTCTTTTTAGTTCATTCTTCATTTTTAACCTGTATCTGTACTTTCCCTTCCTCTTTACCTGCTTCTGTACCTTTACACCTGTATGGCACAACCACACAACTTTCCAACACTGCGTCAGACTCGACACACACACACACACACACACACATGCATACATGTAACTACATGCACACACACGCACACAAACACATACACATAGATATATTAAATTCACAGCACAATATCATAATTTATGTGTCAAATAATACAACCACAAACACTGTTGGATCTTTATTATTATTATTATTTACTTTTCTGTTATTTATTAACATACTATTTTATACATTTAGATACTTATTCCAACTTATTCACATGAAGGCGTCATATTTTAGCTACTCACACACACATCTATGGGTGCACTAAGATTTGTCTCATGGAACGTACATGGAGCTGGCTCCAGAGAGAAAAGATTAAAGATTTTTGATCAGCTAAAGAGAGTGCAAGCAGACGTAATATTGTTACAAGAGACTCATAGATCTGCCACATCCACAGATGAACTTAAGACACCTGAGTTTCCCAGCATGTTCTCTGCCTTCTATAACTCTAGACAAAGAGGTGTAGCTATTTTAATACACAAAAACATCAATTTCACAGTATTGGACACAGTTTCTGATCCAGAGGGTAGATTTATAATGTTAAAAATATCTGTACAGAACCAACGCTTATGTATTGTCAGCATATACTGTCCAAATATTGATGACCCTCCATTCTTTCATAATTTTTTCTCTGTACTCTCCGAACACTTGGACTGTCCACTTATACTTGGAGGCGATTTTAAGTTTTGGATGAACTCTTTAACAGACAGGCTCAGTACAGCTGGGACTCAGCGCAATTTGCAATCCACTAACATAGTTAAACAGTACATGAGTGATTATGGGCTTTGTGATGCATGGCGATCTCTTCATCCTAACCGTAGAGAGTATACTTTTTTTCGCACGTCCATCACTCTCATTCACGTTTGGATTATTTTCTAGTCAGCAGCTCATTGTTGGCTGACATTCCAGACACTGAGATACACCCCATAGCTGTCAGCGACCATGCTTCGGTTTCTTTAACTCTGGTAAACAAGAAGACAATCCCACCAAGCAAAAACTGGAGGTTTAATACATCACTGCTTAAAGACGAAGGTTTTATAGAATTTTTTAAAAAGGAGTGGGCTTTACATTTAGAACATAATGACCTGCCTGGAACATCAGCATCTATTCTCTGGGAGGCAGGAAAGGCAGTGATGAGAGGTAAAATAATCTCTTTCTCATCGCATAAGAAAAAAACAGAAAACAAACGTATTCAGGAGTTAGAAGAAATCATCAAGTCTTTAGAGGCGTCCACAGAAGAAGAGTCAATGAGCAAATTACGTAAAGCTAAATTAGAACTTCATGGAATTATTGACAAAAAGACACAATTTTTAGCACAAAGACTACGAATAGAAAACTTTGAACATAGTAATAAATCAGGTAAATTTTTGGCTAGCCAATTAAAAATGAATAAAGAGAAAACTACCATATCTGCTGTTAAAGACTCAACCGGGAATATAGTTTATGACCCTGAAAGAATAAACACCACCTTCAGAGACTTTTACCAAACTTTGTACTCACCACAGATAAACCCATCAGATAACGAGATCGATGAGTTCCT